TTCTCTGCAAGGGTGGGGGATCTATTAAGATGATTTGCCCTTGGAGACTAATGGATCCGGATGGTTTCCTGAATACTCTGGGGGATTAGCCGTCTGATATGGTCATTGCTCCTGTAGAAGCTCAGGTCACCCTATGGAATAGGGAGATGACCCGAGCAGTTGGCACAATTGTGCTTAAGCACCCTCTCCCTGCATGCAGAACCTGGACAGCTCCTTGGTATATATCTGAACTGCAGGCGATGAAGTGAGAGAGGAGACAGCTGGAGCACAGGTGGAGGATATCCTGCTGGGAGTCTGATCGAACATGACTTAGAGTCCATTATCAGGCTATTTCATGGCAATATGGTTGGCAAAATGGCAGTATTTCGCTATCTGTATTGTTTCTTTAGAATGTCACCCAGTAGAGCTGTTTTGGGTGGTCCAGGATCTTCGATCATCTTCAACCAGAAAATCCGGTGGTGGTCTCAGATTGCTCATCAGCTCTCTGTGATACGTATGTTTGCCATTCACTTTGATGGGAAAATTGCTCAGATTTGCAGTGGATTTGACTGCACCATTAGTGCAGAATCAGAGGATGTGTCCAGTGTGCCATGCTTAAGTCAGGTATTAATGGATGAATTTCAGTTGTTGAGACCCGAGGATGTGGACAGGGTGCTTGGATCTGCCCGTTCTACCAACACTCCACTCAACCCTCCAGGGGGCCGTGAATGCCTCTTTGAGAGAGGGAGTGGTCCCTACCGCCAATTCGGCCACTCCTAAAAAAGACTAACTTGGACCAGGGCTGGTGGTTAACTACCAACCAGTGGCAAACATCCCTTATTTGGGCAAGGTGTTGGAGCAGGTTATGGCTGGGCAACTCCAGGCGCTGCTGGATGAAATGGATTTTCAGTATCCATTTCAATCAGGTTTCAGGCCGGGCTTTGGTATGGAGACATTTGACCCTGTACAGTGATTACCTTTGCCAGGAGAGAGACAGGGAGAGTGTGACCCTGTTGATACTCCTCGACCTCTCAGCCGCTTTCGACAACATCGACCATGGTTGGGTTGGGAGTCGGGGGCACCACTTTACGGTGGTTCCGCTCCTTCCTAGCTGACCGTATCCAGAGGGTGGTGCTGGGGGACAAGTTGCTCTGCCCCATGGCATTTATGTCACGGGGTTCCTCAGGGCTCAATACTGCCCCCCCTGCTGTTTAACATCTACATGGAACCGCTGTGAGAGGTCATCAGGAGGTTTGGGTTGAGGAGTCAACAATATGCTGATGACACTCAGCTCTACCTGTCGTTTTCTACCACTCTAGGTGAGGCAGTTTCTGTGCTGAACTCATGTCTGGACATGATAATGGATGAGGTTTAATAAATTGAAACTCAATCCAGACAAGATGGAAGTGCTGTTAGTGGGTGCTTCATTGGACAGGCTAGAGGGCCATTTCCCTGCCTTGAATGGGGTTGCAGTCCTCCTAAGGGACAGGCTCCGCAGCCTGGGGGTGTTCCTGAACCCCGGTCTAACTCTGGAAGCTGAGGTGGACTCGGTGGCCAGAGGCACTGACCTTCATCTGCGGAAATTATACCAGCTACGGCCCTACCTGGACAAGCAGAGTCTCATGACAGTTACACGTGCACTGGTAACATTCTGTATAGATTATTGCAATGCTCTATACATGGGGCTGCCTTTGAAGACGGTCCGGTAACTGCAACTGGTTCAGAATCGAGCTGTGTGGCTGGTCAGTTGTGGGGCTACTAGGGAACAGATCAGGCTGATTCTGTTCAAATTATATTGGCTATCAGTTGCTACCCGGCCCCAATTCAAAGTTTTTGTTTTGACGTATAAAGCCCTAAACGGCTTGGGCCCTGGATACCTGAAGGACCGCCTCCTTCTATATGAGCCTTCCCGGCAGTTAAGATCTAGCCAGGGGGCCCTTTTGAAAGAGCCGTCCCTCAAGGAGGTAAGAGGGATGGTTTGTAGACAAAGGGCCTTTTTGGCAGCTGCCCCCAGACTATGGAATGCCATAGATCTCTGGCGCCAACGCTGATGACAGGTCAAAACTTTCCTGTTCCAGAAGGCTTTTAATTGAAATAATATCAAAGTGGGTCCTGATGGCAATTTTTAGAGTATATATTTTAATTGAATTTTAATTGTTTTATATTTTTATTGTACTTAAACTGTTGTAAGCCGCCCAGAGACCTTTGGGTAGTGTGGGCAGCATATGAGATAAACAAACAAACAAACAAACAAACATGAATAAGAAGTTTATTTTAGACAAACAAACAAACAAACAAATAAAGTCCAATTATTTTTTATAATATTGAAAACCCAACACTTAGCCATGAATAAGAAGTTTATTTTAATGATGATCTAGACAACTTTCTTCCAAACCTCATGTGGGCATATTATGTCAGGGGATGTGCCTATGCCTCTGATACTGTTCTATTCTTAGCTTTCTTGCATGCAAACATTTTGCAGCTGGGACTCCTGTACACAGCCAGTCTCCCCCATATGGCTCAGGAGCTGGCTGTAGAAGCATTTCTGCACCCATCTATCTGAACCTCTCCCCCACTAGGGATGATCACAGAGACTGGAAATAATTGTGAGAATTCTCTGGTTCCATCATTTGCTTAGAATTCAAAAGCAAATAACATAGGAGGGACTGTCCTGAATATCAGGGGATGGAGTTTTTAGGGAGAGGTGTGTACTCTGCAGACTGGAACATACCAATGCACTAGAAAATTCCCCTTGTTTAATATTACTAAATTACTTAGTCTTGACAAAAGAGGCACTGAGACAGAATCCATTAACCTCTGCAAAATCATACACCCATAACACAAGAGTGAGAGGCAAGGAGTGCTTTTTTGTTGTTGGTTGGCTGATTGATTGGTTTGGGTTGAGATTTCCACAATTTGTGCAAAATGCCTCTGCAGAAACTAATTTCTGTTCCCCTTTTGAAGGAAGGCACGCACAACAAGCATGGAAGGATTGATTGATCAGAAGAAAGAAACTACCCATCCCTTCCTTCTAATATTTAAAATTCCATGCCACAAGGCTCTAACTATCCCATAATCTGTACAGATTGCGTAAGATGGATGACAGTAGTTGCAGCAAAAACACTAATTCAGATCGGCGAAATGTATTTTACAGGCAAGGAGAAAAACACTTCTCATTACCAATTGTGAGAACAAAACATCCTTATTTTAATGCAACCGTAAAAAATGGAAGTGTCATTTTCAGTATGAGGAAATATAGAAGCTGAAGTTAAATGACAGTAGATACAGAATATACCATTTGCAACAATTCCATTAGAATTTCAAAGTATTGAAAATATGTCTTTCACATTAACCGTCCTTTAAGATCATGCAATCATTTTCTAATTGCTGAGAAAAATATTATTAATACCTGTGGTAGAGCAGATATTAATATATAGGTAGATAGGTATGTAAGTAATTAGTGGCCAAAATTCACTTCCATATACTGTGGGCTTTCATTGGTCATTAAACTTTTCTGTTCAACTCCCGCCAGGTTCCAAGCTTTCCTTGGGATGTCTTTTTGACTTGGGGAAGCATTTTGGAGCCTCAGGATGGGGCAGAAAGCCTTTAATGCCTCATTAAATATCAGGATTAGGACTATTGGTGGTGATTTTCTGGCATTAAAGGCCCCCTTCCTCCTGAGGCACCGAAAGGCTTCCTCAGCACAAAAGGAAACTTTGGGTGGGTGGATCTGAAATAAAATATTGTTATGACCAATAAAAGCCTGTGGCTTATGATGCCATCAGCTTGTGCAGATTTTGTCCATTGAATTTAAACCAAAAGGAAGAGAAAGGAACTTCTTCGTCAATTCTAATTCAGCAGCTTCATGTTAAAGCTTCTTCTTGAAGTCCCTTTGTTGAAGGAAGACCACTTGAAGGTCAGTGATAAAAGTGTCCTGATTGATTGAAATATCTTTCCACTGTTGCCTGAATTCTTCCATTTCTTGAGTCAGGTGTGTGTCCATTTATTTTTGTCGAATTAACCTGTTTGGCCTAAGCTAGAATACTGTTGGGAGACAATATATATTCTGTTTATGTTCCTCAATGCTGCTCCCTTTCTTCACAGTGCAGCCCCCCTCTGGAAGTGAAAGATTTGTTGGTAGATATTAAAGATGGCAAAATATTGATGGCTTTACTGGAAGTTCTGTCTGGACAAAATCTGGTATGTATAAAATGCAGCCATAAAGAACAATTGAAAAGAACTGTCTTTTACATAAGTGGGGTAGAACTGTGTAGATTTCTCCCACCCCCCCCCAGGCCTCCATCAGAAACATATTTCATGCCAGACAGCTGCAACCATTTTGTAAGGTACTTGTGTATTGTAGTTACATGCAGTTAAATTGAAACTGCACCAAGCACTAAGGATCAGGCTATACTGTCCTACTTGTGTATTGTAGTTACATGCAGTTAAATTGAAACTGCAGCAAGCACTAAGGATCAGGCTATATTGCCAAGCCCATCATTCCTACGTTTTCTTTCAACTAGAGAAAGCAGTCCAAAAATTTGTGTTTTTGGACTGCAACCCCCAGAATTCACCAAGATTAGCTTCCCAGAGTGAATTGTCATTCAAAAAAGGCAGATCTGCTCACCTCTGGTTTCTAGTTTAGAATTAAGCTGATCCAAAAAAACTTTCCACAACTTCGTGTTCTCCTGATGTGTTGGACTACAATTCCTATCATCATTCAGCAGCATGACTAATGGTTTTAAGGTTTCACTGGCAATGCAGGTCAATATCCACAAGCTTTTTAAATTCCTCTTCCCATCCATTCATTCAGTGGTTTTTCTTCAGCAAATCTCTATCAGTGGATACAGTTGAAACGAATCTCAGACAGGTTAGAATCTTCATCAGGTGGACAAATGGGGTGTCCACATGCAGCCCCTACTAGTTGTTTTACCCTCCCCATCAGTCTCCTGATGCTGGTGCCTTTGTTGCTATTGCTGCTGAGTTTCGGTGCTGCTGCAGCCAATTCTATTTAATTTTAAAACAAGATGCACAGGACACAGATACTTTGTACCTTGTTTTAAAACTGTTTTGTGTCAGAGATGGAGAGGCAACCTTTACCTGGCTAGGCTAAGATGTATTGCTACTAGTATTTATATATTCCTCTGCCTTTGCATGTGCTCATCAAACACAGATGGATGTTCTATTCTAACTTAGTGTTGCTAAGGAAAAGTGTACCTGTAAAAGTTGAGTAGGTTCTGGTTAGTAGAAAAACAGTTCAGAACTTTGGACTTCTAAATGTTTAAGTGAAGTGGTGAAGATTTTTGTTGTTGCATTGCCAATTTGCTGCTGAAATTCAATGATGAGGTCAAAAATTGATAATGTATTAGCTAATGCAGCCCCAGTTTGGTTCAGAAGAGCAGTGCGTTCACCTGGAAGTTGCCAATCCTGTTGTAAATGGTATATCAAGTTAAAGAATCAGTATAGTGGATAGAGGTAAGAAGGTTGATATAGAAATCAACCTCCTCACAACAAATCAGCTCTTCCATGGTTGATCAGCAGTTAGTTATGAAAAATTGTTGGAACTTTACTAATTCTGTTTTTGAAAAGAAAAATAGCTGTGATCTACTCTACAATGGCTTGGTGGGCGCAGTGCATATCCAGCCATCCCTACTGTAATGACTTCAGCCCTCACTTGCCTAATGATGTCCATATAGATGAGTTGCTCTTTGCTTGCTGGAATGAATGAAAGAGTGCACCAGGTGTATGTCATGTATGGTGTATGTCATGTATGATTTAATGGCCATTGGGGAATGAATGAAAGAGTGCACCAGGTGTATATCATATATGATTTAATGGCCATTGAGAAGGAGAGGAAAATGCCTCTAGGAAGCCTTATTTTCATTTACTATTTTCCTAGCTCCTGGGTGGGGATTGACGGTGGTAGAAGATATGAAAGAATGAATGAATGTTCAAGAGAGAGATGAGTAGAGAGACAGATACTCTTTGATTTATATCCCGCCCATCTGGTATATCTATATGAATGTTTAAGAGAGAGATGAGTAGAGAGACGAGTTTGGGTATAGATTGAGATGTTAAGATTAGGTTTTTTGGTTAAATCAAAGGCTAAACAATAGGTCATTAGGAAATGTTAGAGATCATTGTACCTATACGCTAGATGGACTGCTTCAAATAAAACTTATACAAAGAGTGAATGAGTCCTATAAAGTAATACTAAAAACCTTTCCCAATTTGTCCCAGTTTTGATCATCCAAATTTTTAAATTGGCTTTCCAACCCAATGCAATTTAATCCTTTACAAAAGTAAAAGCACTTTTCGTCCTTAAACATCTCTTATTTTCTGGTATTGGCTATCACATAAACAAACATTTGGGTTCCTTGGCATCAGCTCAAACAAGAGGGAAAGGGAAGAAAAATAAATCTTTTAGAAGGTTTCTAGTTTTTGGAACCAGTGGTGAAAATATTACTTCAGGTTTAGAGTTCAACAAA